CTTCAAATTTCACTGGAATTTCTTCCAGAAAAGCTGTGTTCCGCTAGATATGTGTACCTTGTGCTCGTGAATACCTCCACCTGTACCAGAGATATCAATAACTGCCGGGAAGGGACCATCACCTGAAGTAAAGGCCGAGTATTAGGCGCTGTTTGGCTTGGAGAGGGCATTTTTTGCTTCTGTATTTTTTTATCAATTCCTGTTGATTTACGTCTCGCCTTGCTGAGACCTGTAGAGTTTTGTAAGGGGTAAACGAAGCTCGTGCTATACCATAGCTTTACAAGAGTTCACAGGTTTCCACAGTAGACATCGACAATGGTCGAAGAGGAGAACCAGCAGAATGCCCCTCCAAGCCAAACAGCGTCGAATTATTATAATGAGGTTAGCGTGAGAAAGCCCATCACACTATAAAAGGGTGTGTGAATATACCCCCCCCCCCCCCCCCAAAGGCATGCTATCCCTAAAGCTCCCCTTTCTTCAGCTGATCTTTGGCATTCCACCTTTTTACACGACAAAATAGTGAGTGCCTGGACGAGAGATCAAGCGACGAGAAGACAAGAGAAAAGAAGGATAAGCAGTACGATAGACAATAGCGCATTCGTCAATCACGTTCGGCGGCGGTGGCTTTGATGGGCGTGCCCTAGACGGCGAAGTACTCTCCTGGCACCCTTGTCATTTATTTACTTTCGAACTGCGTTATCAACGTTTGGTCGTAATTAAGACGCTTGCAATTTCGCAGCCAGAGGGTCCTGTCTGGTCGGTGGAGGGGGGGGTCATGCCAGAGGAGGAAGTTCTGAGGGAAAACATATTTTGCAAATTTTCCCCCAACGTGTCCTGATCGTAATCCGATTTCCCCATGGGATTTTCAGGCATTTTTGTTCAGAGGAAAATAAACGCACTAGTAAAACATCCGCTCAACTTACCTGGTGGCTTGAATAAAGTCCCGCAGAAGCCATCTTCTTCAATTTCGGTTCGTTCTAATTTCGGATGCATGAAATGTTTCCTGATCGGTAACCTTGCTAGTTCACGGTTACTGCAGTCCAATAAACTGAAAAAGTCATGTGATTTTCACCAAATTTTTATAATTACAGAGAAAAATACTGTATTGAACCTACATTAGATTATAGATAAATGGTACAGGTGGAGTGTGTCGCAAGTAAGCGCCAAATGGAAAATCTTCACACGGTTCGACACTCATGAACAATCCCATTGGGTCAGCCTCTGAACATCGACATCACACATTGCTCAGCGTCTCATTTCTCAAGTTCAATGCCCCGGGTAGGTTCCACTTTTTGAGCGTTATGGACACAACATTAGGAGCGCTGTTCGGCTTAGAGGGGGCGTTCTGTTAGTTGTCTTTGTTAGTTCATCTTAGGTAACAGATCTCGCCAAAATGACACCTGTAAAGTCCTGTGAAGCTGTGAAATGGTAGGAGTGAGCCACTTCGGTTACAGGAATTTACAGGTTTTCACTGGGTAGCCTGTAAAGGCTCAGCAGCACTGCCCCCACCAAGCCGAACTGCGCCAAAGCATGTTCTACTATTCTGCAGTTCGCGGAATCAGTGGTCCAAATACGCATTTCTTCCAGACTCACCGCTATATGAACCTCTCAAGGGTTTCGCCGTCGGAACGTCTATTTCTCCGGCCGAGTCTGCTTTGAAGACCGCATAAGACATGTGCGTACCCCATCTGTGTTTGACTCTAAAATCGATTCTTTAAAATCGATAAATTGAAAGAATTGGAGGAGCAGCTCGGCGAGCGGGGGTAGGGGCATTTTGCACTTTTGCTACTCACCGTCTCTCTAGGTGTCAACCATCTTAGAGACTTTTCTTAGGTTGATAGTTTTACATGGTGGCTCGACGAGCTGGTTCCCGCCCCCCCCCTTCACAAGCGGTTTCACAGGTTTCGACTAGAGTGGACTTGTAAATTCGAAACAAACTGAAGCATCTGGAGTGCAAATGCCACCCCTGCAACTGCGTCGCAACGCGCCGGTTGAATTGCTACACTTGTCAGCTCGCCCCCTCTCAACCCTATTCCAAAAGGAATTTCCCTAAGATTCGTATTAGAGTCCTCCACAAAGAGGCCTAGCTAAGCCTCTATAAAAATTTCAAAAGTGTCGCCAGTGTGGGAGGATCACTGGATAGTTGGTGAAGAGTCTACCGTTGATTCAGACCGCCTAATTTTCTACGTGCTTTTCCCATCTGCGATGGGAAGTGCTCCAGAGTGGGAATTCCTATTAAACGTTGAAGCTGGAAATTCCTGTGAAAAAGGGCTACTCTGGTGGAGGCGTAATAAGCGATCACCTCAGCACCAATTTGTAGATGCCGTTTGGTGCCAGATCTTTTGCTTTAATATGAAGCGCTCGTTTTGCATCGTGTCGGGTTTGTCCACGTAGAGGGACATCTTCCTGAAAATGCTTTCCGAATGCTGGTGTCATTTGAGTTCAGTGTTTAATTCCTATTCAACGCGATCAAAAGTGAATAAAAGTATCACCGTTTCAACTAACTACTAACTTCATTTTTCAGAAATATCGAGTTGGTTCATGGGTATTAGCATTTTTTCCAACATAAAATTTTGGGTGAAAACTGGAACGTTTCTCAAAGAGTTTCATATTATTTTATACACAAATTATTGCACTATGAGATGTGAGCTTACTTTTTTGTGCTAATTTAATCTGATCAAAACCTGACAGTCGAGTTGATGGAAATGAGCGTTTTCGGCAGCAGCCTTTTCCACTTGGTCAAGGCTCCGGAGCGGCAGAAGCAGCTCAGAAGTTCGTGGCCAAGGAACACGGTCTCTTAAAATTGCTCAATGTCGGTTCAAGCTCTCCACAACTGGGAATTTGCACCTCATGAACACGAAACCCACCGGGATCCCTCTGGGAAGTGATTGGATGTGGGACCCATAACCAACCTCTCCCATCACACCTACCTTTACCTCTTCCATTATGTAAAGCCAAAAGCGTCAAACTGTTCCGGAGCTCCATGGAAGTGCCTATTATCTGGCGTAAGTGTTCGTGACTGAGCTAATTCATAAGCTTTCAATCGCACGCAATGAAGCTTCCAGTGCCTTTCGGTGTGGTTGGAATTTGAGTCTCAAAATTGTTTTGGTCCAACTCTGAGCCTTCCTAGGAGGCATCGCGCTTCTTGACCACTCACTTTACAAAAGGGTCTCTGCAGCTTTAGCTCTTTGATCAGACCAATACAGAGAGAGTGCCGAAAATTTCAAGTTTCTTCGACCTGATTCTCTATTTTAATCACCTGATGAGGAACAAAAAAAATTAAAATTGAAAAAAGGATGACTTGCACGAGCGAAAATTTCTCTACCAAGCAGTCCAAAAACGTCAGCGAACCATTGCATCTTTTGCGCGAAACTTTGAGTAGAAAAACAAGCCATTACTCATGGGTCAAACCAATAGTAATTGTGGTACCTTTGCAGAGGCCCCCAACTCAGGAGGAGGGACTCATTGTCAGAACAATCTCTATCAAGGCTAGAACGACCTCTTTCGAATTACCCCATCCCCATTGAAGGGATATGACCCCTGATGGAAACTCAACGTTGCTCTACCCTGTAAGGTCTCATAAAAACGAAAAAAATCTATCAGATCAAAAATTGAAGACAATAGGTAATGCGAAAAAGGTTAAGCCGAAACAGTCTCAAAGACGAAGGAACGAAATGAAAAGGGACACTTCTCGAAAGAAGTACAAGCACTTTACGAGCGCGGGGGTTCCAAGGGGTCCGCGTGTGATTCACTACGATTTTATACTACTGCTGATATGTTATCAGTTCTTATGATTTCGCCCGATTCAGGTGGTAATCACGCGCGATCGAAATCCGGCACTGTGAAATTATCAGCATGGACCTGTCGCCTGACGGCGGAATGAAAATAACGACTCAGAAGTTCGGCTGAGCCAGGTAGCAGTCGGATTTTGTACCATAAAGATCGGCCGCAGTTCGGCTTTATGGGGGCAATTTCCTCGCTGCCGAAGCAGCCTTCTGAGCAGTGAATTTCCGAGAAGCTACGCAGAAGCAGGAGCAATGTTTACCCTTGTCGGGGTTTCACCAAGGCCTGGCGTGTACTTTACCAGGATTTATCAAAAGGGACTGAAGAAAGGCAAAATGGTCCTTTCAGCCGGACAGGGGCCCAGACTTCCATTCCGATAACTGGTTCCTATATTTCGCAGTGTATTCGCTGCACGACACCAAATCAGTAGAAGACTAATCTTTCTCGTAATGTATTAGGTTGGCTCGGAATTCTCCAGCGTTTGAGTGTTTCACTTCAAACGATCATAATCTTTCTTAATACTGCCATCGGATTCCAATCTAAATTAGGGACCGTTTGAATCAGCACATTTTTGACAATGTGAAACCATTCGAGAAATCCCATCAAAGAAAAAACTGGGTGACAAATCCCATCAAAGGAAAAACTGGGTGGTAGAGAATCCACGAAGTCCATGTAGGCCTTTTTTGCCTGGTCCTGATTGATGAAGTATTTTCCAGCAAGGAAGTTCTGAAAATGTCTGAAAAGGTGATAGTCGGTTGGTGAAAGGTCTGGAGAATATGGCGGTTTGATTTGTGAAACGTGTGGGCGGGCGTTGTCATGCAAAAGAATCGGACCCTTTCTGTTGACAAGTGCTGGCTGCAGCTGACGCAATTTTCGGTACATTTCGTCGATTCCTTCACAGTAGGGTTCTGCTGTGATGGTTTGGCCTGGTGATAAAAAGTTATAGTGGATCACACCAGCCGATGACCACCACACTGTGACCATAATCTTTTTTTTCGTGAGGATTCGGCTTTGGAAATTGCCTCGATGGTTCGTCGGAATCCAACCATTGTCCGGAACGTCTCCTGTTATCATACATGATCCATTTTTCATCACTGATGATAATTCGGTCCAAAAACGGGTCGTTTCTTTTGCGCAAAAGCAGTGAAGAGGAAACCTCGAGACGTGCCAATTTCTGCCGGTCACTCAAATTGTGGGGCACCCACTTGTCGAGTTTTTTTCACCTTCCCAATGCGTTTTCAGACCATCTGCAACAGTGGATTTGCCAAGGCCTAGCTCTTCTGCTATCTCTCGAACTGTTTGGGATGGGTCAGCCTCCGAAATCCCCCTAAAATCATCATCCTCGTCAGATATTGCTTTAGGTCGACCGCTACGAGGTTCATCTTCAGGGCTGAGATCTCCAGAACGAAATTTGTCGAACCATTGCCGCACGGTGCTTTCTCTAGCACTATTGGTTTGTTGAGCTGTCTCGATTGACCCAATTTTGTCCAAGAAAAATATCGTCTGAAATTGCTCTCTTTGACATGCTTCAAAAGTCTTGGAAAGTGGGGTTTATCCCGCCAGTGGTGAAAAGACAATTATACCACCACATAGCGCTAAGAATTCTCTCCAGGATGTACTACTGAGACGCAAGGAAGAATGAGTTTTTAATCAGCAATGAATGTACAAATAATGGTAACACAAAACGCTGAGAACTTTCCGGACAACCTAATAAAAAACTCAAGGGCTCCAAACGACCACTGGGATCCTATACTTTCCTTTCAGCCTTTTTCCTGCAGTTATAACCGTGAACGCTTTCCGGAATTCCTGCCAGACTATAGCTTTGAGCACGCACCGACATGTTATCTTTGCTGTCTCTCGGGAGATGACGAGCGCCTTCCCGCTACGGAAAGACTACGTAAACGGGTCCAGCGATTTATCACAATGCAAAGCACGTGTAGCTATTGAATGCTCGAACAGCGCGATCACGCCTGTAGTTTGGACTGAACAGCTTCTTCTATTTTGCGAAGTGTACCAATGTTCCCTTGGGAGAAAGGCAAGGAGAGGGCGATGGGGCGTTCGACCTGAAGGATGGCTGGAGGCCGATATGCTAGCGATGGTCATCGATCTGAGTGACGAGTTTATTCACCGCCATCTTCACCACCTACAGTCTTGCTTGCTGAAGATGCCAGGGCATTTGGAAAGACTGGGCTTAGGACGACGTCAACCGATTTTCCGCAAGTTGTTAGAGCTGGCAAAAGACTGCATTGGTGAACAATAGGTTGGCGTCGCGCCAAACTCAGCTAGCACTCAGGGAGCGGCAGCCGTCAGCAATCCTCAAGAAGAACTCTTCAGGAAAGTTAAGAACTTCGCTTAACAGTTCTCTGAATGACATGAACAGTCGATTTGCTCTAAGTTCAGGTGATGTGATCATATCAGGACCTGCTGATATCTATGCGGAGGTGCTTTTGCAAAGGTGTTATGAGATAAGGGCGCCATGCTCAGGGCGCAACTGATATTGGAGTCTTGTCAAAAAAATGTAGTTTGAATTGGAATTAAAGGAGGCTTCGGGAATCACTACAATATTCCGCGGCTTCCTTGGAGGTAAAGCACTTATTGTTAGGTGAGGTGAAAAATGCCTCCCCTCTAAGCCGATCTGCTTCTACTGATCGAGCCTTCAAACAATTGGCTAGAGAATTTCTTGGAAGCTCGGCTCTTCAAAAAAATCAACATCATTTACAATGAAAAAAGAAGGGGTGAAATGAACCATCCGTGTCCTGGAGTGTTTTTTGATCATTTGCTTTTCTTTTCTTCCCGAAAAAGCACTAAAATGAACCGGAAACCATTTTCCTAGGTCTTTTTCCGGTCCATTTATGACAGGATAGGGTGGCGGCAGTGAGAGACAATAAGCCTGTCGACGTCGTCGGTAAATAAATGGTTATAATTAGTGCGGATAACGGACGATATGACAGACCTCCTTCGGGCAGCTGGAACCGCCCTCCACTCAGCTCTTTAATCTAGCTCAGTAACCCCGGCAGTTCCCCTTGGGCCCTCATTAATGTCTGTCGATTTCTAACTCTCTTACTTATTATTTGAAACTGTGGGGCTGTTGTTGTCGTTTGCAGTGTTCTCATAGTTTTTGCATCCAGGCAGCACTTGTTCGGCAACGCTATTCGGCTTGAGAGGGACATTTTGCTCTTTTGCTAGTTTTTTGTTCTGGTTCATGTTAGCTAGAAGGTCTCATTTGCTCAGACCTGTGAAGCTGGGAGCGGTACGTGTGATCCATTCTAGCTTGAAGAACTTACAGGGAGATAGCTTGCACCGGCTTCGTTGAGTACCATTCGTTGCCCCCACCGAGCCGAGGAATCTTAGTATATGTGAATCCGTGAATTATGTTCTTAACTATTCCTCCTCTGCTCTTCACTTACTCGTCATACGTACAAGAGGTGGCCCACGAAGAGGTAGGCACTACCCATGGCGCGCACCAACCAAAGTTTACGTCGCCACTGTGGGGGTCTATGTACGTATGTAGAAAACGCTGATTAAAACGTTCCTACAGTGTTCGTTGATGAACGCAAGCGAGTCTTCTTTCACTGTCTGTCGGTGCTGGGAAGCATTTTTTGCCCTCCCCTGTATTTCTACGTACAAATGGGCATTTTGGGTAACCCACTCGGAAAGCTCTGTTGTCGCAATGGGGGCATGAGTGTGGCACAAGGACCCCGCTCTCAATTCTCTTTGGTTTAGTTGGCGGGAACGTTTTTTAGGTGCAGTTTGTCGACGG